GCTTTTAAGGAACTGTGCACAGCGTCTCGAACAAACTCGACGAGCTCAAAATAATTGTAGCTAAACCACGTCCTGACGCCAACGCATTAACTGCAACGAGGTGCACCCTAGACGTCAAACACTTCTTAATACAGTTAGGTGGTCATCATGTGCTAAGATGAGACAGAACCAAAAGGTGAGCTGGCGGAATTGCCCTATCCGTCACTAATGCTGTCAATATATAACACTCATGAAGAATGTGTGTATGAGAATGACCTGGGGATGCTACAGTGTCATTTTTGGTTCCAAAAGCCGAAAGAACTACTGTAACCGTTGAATGTAGGCCTCCAAATCTACCTGTCAACAAAGCTAAAGCGATAGGCACTCGACTCCAAGTAGACTGTCTAAAGCAAAGCATTATTGCTGTAGTAGATCTCAATGGTCCAAGAATTAACAGAAGTCATATGACGGCTAAGAACTACAGACAAGGATTCAACCAAATGCTATTGGACATTTTACTTGATAAATTCCTATTTCAAGACGTACGAACTGTGACTCGGACGCGTGAAGGTCAGAGAGCGAGTTGCCTAGACCTACTGTTTACTCGAACAAGGAAAGCGTTAATGAAAGAAATGTAGGTCCGCCCCCAGTTTCTTGTGATCATACGACATAAATGTGGGAATCCACTTTCGTAGCTCTACCCGAGCGAAGCTCAATGTTGTTAAGAAATGTCTGGCGGCGTAACTTTGAGGCGATGGGGTCGGAGATGGGAAACACATTATGGACGGATGTTTTACGGAGAGATGTAAAGTAATGTTAGAGAGGCTTTGAATTAACTATGGCAAAATTGATTAAACGACGTTGTCCTCTCAGGAAACATCCTAGTAGAAATAGACCGAGAAGGCTAATAAAACCGGTCTTGAAGGAGATTTGGAAAAAGCACAAGCTACGGAAAACATTTTTACAAGCAGAGGGTCCAAAAAAACTTCAAGAATTTAGGCAACGACGCAGCTTAAGCAGAAGACTCCTCCGTGATATGCGTGGTTCTTATGAACTGAAGTCGTTGGAGGAGACAGCAAAATCTACAAGCATTCTCTGCATACATTAAGAGCATTACAACAAAAGTGTGACCGTTGTGCAACCTTTAGAAGTTTTCAAAGGTTGCTATGCGACAAAACCACCTTTTCAGTCCTGTTCTCTGCCAGAGGTTGTTAAAAAAACCACCCGTAAACGCAGTATAATTTGCACCGGAGCTAGTTCTGGCAAAGTTAAATAAGTTGGATCAGGCCACGTCACCTGGACCAGATGAGATCCCAGGTGTACTCCTATGACATCTTGCTGAATAACTAGCAGAGTCCCTCTGTCTTGCTAAATTTCCGAAGCTAGTACGCTTACTGATACATGGCAATTGACAAACGTCGGATCCATTCATAAGGGAGGATCACGGTTATATCCCACTAACTGCCGGCAAGTAAGTCTGGCATGCATCTTCTGCAAGCTGATGGTAAGGATAATTAAAGAGCCAGTTATATCGTCCGATACACTCTGCTGTCACAGATCAACATGGCTTTTGTGAAACGAGGTCCTTCCTCACAAACCTGTTTACGTCTCTTAAACGCTGGTCAAAGGCCATGGATGAAGGACAAACATTAGATAACATTTACTTTGACTTCAGCAAGTTGCTTGATTGTGTTCCACATAAGCACCCGATTCGAAAGTTTTTGACGTAGGAATAAAACGAAATCTCCTGAAATGGATTCAAGATTTCCTAAATGGTTGTAGACAAATGTCACTGCTGGTGGCTACTGATGAGACTGGGCGGCTGCTAAAACTGGAGTCCCATGAAAGACAGTTGTTAGGCCCCTCATATCATTATCTGTGCATATGATCTAGTTTGGGAAGTGAAATCAGACATGGCAATCTTTAAAGATGATCTTTAACCGTAGGGGGCGGGATAAAAAAATCCATAAAATGCCGAGATGCCAAAAGGTGACATATTATCAACAAGGCGAAGAAGAAATGCACCCTCTCGACAGTATATCCTGAACAATCGACCACTTGAAACTGTAGATGCGCCAATGGGATTCTTCGCCGAAGTATTTTGTAAATTTCAATCCTCGACCACAAATACGCAATCTTGTGTTTAAAATCTAACAAGAGGCGCCAAGGCTTGTCCATAAAAAACGATATTAGTACACCGCAGGACAATGAAGTTTACGTAAATACATGCTTTGGACAGCACATGTGTCATTCTAAAAAAACAGGTGACAACAAAAGTTGCTTTTCGATGAAGAAGGCAGAGATGTGAAAAACATAGTCCGCAGCCAGTACGCTGTCTGCTTTGATGAAAAAAAAGGATAAAAGGAAACGAGCCGATATGCAAACGTAAAATAAGGTGGGAGAAAAGTTGCGTGCAGGACATCGTCATGGCAGGAGCGAGAATGGCAAAATGAACCAGGTTTAAAGTTTGTGAAATTGGAATGGCTGCTGGCCTTCCGCACTGAAGTTAAGTGAGGGTTTTAAACGTCCTTCACAGGAGACAGCACGATACGTTAAACTGTGACAGGAATGAATCCGAAATCAGCTCCTCTGTCTGTTTGTCTTTTTTCTTCTCGAACATTTGACTGAAGACATTCTCTATATATTGATATTTTGGCCGATTTTGAATAATTCATATTGACCCAACTGTGAAAAACTCGGCTCCTCGGTGGGATTCGAACCCACGAAGTAAGGGGAGGGCTTTAGAATATTCTTTTGCGTGCCGTAGGTACTCAGACCGGACCATGCGATGTAACCTACCAACGTTAAAGACAGTTAACATCCTTTCGGACAGTCACAAAGCTGTCTGCAAGGAGGACAACGAACATACTGATCGGGACCAAGACGATAAAGAGAATGCAAGTGAAAAGGACCATTGCTCCAAGGGGAAAATCGTGCTCATATATGCTTTTTAAGTCACACTTGCCACGCACAATCTGAAAATTCGCTTCGTGGGAGTAAATGAATGTACTGTAGGCAACGACTGTGGGGAAAGAAGGCGGCAGAATGTGATCACAAGGGAAAGGACCACGCAAAGAACCACAAAAACGTACTTCATATGTCTGTTAGCATACTGCAGAATGGGGCCATAAAGGCCAGTGTGTTTGTTAAAGCGTAAAATATGCAGTAGTCTGAAAATTGGCGAGAATAAAACGAGGCTAAAGACTCATTCCAGATGGAAACCATATGAAAACTGGGGCATCCACTGCTATCGGAAAGGGTAGGATTCGACGGCAAGCTTTTTGGTTTTGATTTCGACATTGGCAAAGCTAGCGATGACCACGAAGGAGTCGACGAGGATCAGCAGTGGGGCCCAGATGGCCTTAATCCTTTGTTAGGAGGGCCATAAGAGAGAAGATGAATAAAGCCCACGGTTGGCTTGGAGCTCCTGGTGAATTGCTTAAATTTAATATTCGTTACTCACTTTAACTTTTGAAGTTGTCAATCCTGAAAAGAAATTATGTGGAACCTCATGTCCTGGTTTAGGGCAGGCTAAAAAGCGCTTTTAGCCTGGCTTTACAACCTCTTCGTAATTTTGTTTCTATTAGAATCAACCTCCTTTAGTGTGGATTAGCGGAGCATTGATACCTAAACACTAAGCATTATTGTTCTGAGGCTTTTAATGATAGAATAATGAATGTTCACCTCGCGAGTTACCCCCGTGGATATTCTTCAGCAAGGCTCGCCTTGAATTACATTGCTCGGGACGTCATGCCCGAAAGTAGACTTGCATCAATAACGTCCCTTGGAGCAGAACTAGTGGGGTGTTTTGTTTGCAACACGGAGAATACGACCCCCTGGGCACAGCCTGATCTGAGGCTGCCCTGAATTATACTTTTCACAGAAATACTGTGTGGGGAAAGAGGGAGTGGGCCGGCCAGACGTAATTTAAATGGCACGCAGTTAAACTGCCACGGTGCATTGAGCCCTGATCTTGGAGATAGCCAACTGGTGGTCACGTGATGTCTTAGCAACTATCCGTCTGTGGTGTTATTTCCAAATTAGGTTTGGGAAGCAACTTCTTGAATAATAAAGAACATTTATTGAAAGAGCATAATGATGATGATGATGATGATGATGATGAGGAGGAGGAGGAGGAGGAG